CCAATCGAGAATTTGTGGAAAGAACTGAAAACTGCTGTTCACAAATGCTCTCCATCCAACCTCACTGAGCTCGAGCTGTTTTGCAAGGAGGCATGGGCAAAAATTTCAGTCTCTCGATGTGCAAAACTGATAGAGACATACCCCAAGCGACTTACAGCTGTAATCGCAGCAAAAGGTGGCGCTACAAAGTATTAACTTAAGGGGGCTGAATAATTTTGCACGCCCAATTTTTCAGTTTTTTTATTTGTTAAAAAAGTTTGACATATCCAATAAATTTCGTTCCAATTCATGATTGTGTCCCACTTGTTGTTGATTCTTCACAAAAAATTACAGTTTTATATCTTTATGTTTGAAGCCTGAAATGTGGCAAAAGGTCGCAAAGTTCAAGGGGGCCGAATACTTTCGCAAGGCACTGTATGCTGGTGCAGACAGTCATGAACTCATGGGTTTGCTCTGCGTAAGATGTGCTGCTGTGATCTTTCAGGCGAGCCACTGTAATAAAATTGTGTTGTAGGGCTTGGCTGGGAGTGAGTCTCCATTCACCATCGAGATGCAGCAGTCCTTTTAGGAACTCTAAAAATTCCATGCCACCTTCATAGTCAAGAGCATCCCTTGTTGTCAGGTAGGCCTTTACAAGGCCATCCAAGTTGAGGTGACTGCACTTCTGTGCAACTGAATTCATGTAACAGTCATCCGCACTGTCATCACCGGTATCACCTGGGTTCTTAGCATGTTTGTTTTCATCTATGGTCAGTCTCCATTCCAGATTGTTGGAGTCCACTTTTTTGATGAAATAACGTGATACCTTTGTTCCGGCATTTAGCAGGTGATCCTCTGGCTGACCTAACATCTGGCAAATGTCATAGTCTTGTATGAAGAGCTGTAAGGGAAGAGGTAGTTGCCGAAGTATAGGAATGCCATGACACATCCCAGCCCCCACATATCAATGGCTTCTGATATGGAAAGGCCCAGGAACACCTCTGGTGCTCTGAATGAACCAATCAGAATCGTTCTTCCGGCCCTTAGTCCCGCTCCAACCAATCAGAACCGTTCTTCCGCTTCTTAGTCCCGCCCCAACCAATCAGAATCGTCTTCCAGTCCTTAGTCTCACGTGGCCCCCACGTGGGTACCCGTCCCACCCCCTGCATCTGTTGACAGAGATAAGGAAGTTGTGGTTAGCTACCGGTTAACCGCATATGAAAGATAAAAAGATATCTGATGTAGCCCCACCCTGCATATGGTTGTATAGATAAGTATATAACGAATAACTGTATTTGATACCGGTTATAGCCCCACCCCGCATATGGTTGTATAGATAAGTATATAACTTGTTCTTGATAAGTTTGAATGTTTCTTACTTGAGAATGATGAGTGTGAAATAAAGACTTAACAGCGACTCTGGAGGTTATTGTTCTTTTATTTTCTGTACAAAAAGTAGTAGCCGTATTCTCTATACAGAATGCCAACCCAGTCTCAGGGGTGAAAAAAAGCTCAATGAACAGCATATGACTGCGCTTCTTATATTATAACATAAATCCAAAAAAAAAAGATAGGGGGAACACATTACCTTTTTAAATCGTACCTCTGTCCCGGTTCGCATCAGTTTCAACAATCACAAGTTGTTTTTTTGACAGGTTTTCCACGACCCCCCACTCATTCGCATAGCTATGCAGCGGTTGGTAGCCCTGTCTGTAATCATAGATAACAACACAGTACCTGTTTTTGGAGATAAACAGCAGTTCTCTGTCATAACGTCTTTTGTAAGAGAGAGCAGAACCCCCGTCTTATCAGGAACACAAAAAAGCGCCTCTTACAACGAGCCGGATTTGTTTCACCAGTCACAATGGCTCAGGTAAGTGAAGCATTTCGTAAATTCCATTATAAATAGCCCGGGTTTAAAGAATGGTTTTAAAGAGTGTTTTTAGTATGTGTGTTAACTGCTACCATTTCATTCACACCAGAGGGGGGCTATCACAGCATTAATGGAGAGCGTCTTGAAGACTGATTCAGTAAGTATTTAGCTACAACTCTATTCTATGTATATTCATTTCTTTTTTTCTGAAAAACTATTTTACACCCATCAGACACCTATTTTCGTTTATTTCCAGACGATGTATTACTGATGCAGTCCGCCTCTGAAGAGGAAGAAGATGAGTAACAACAGAAACAAGAGGGCCCGGAAGTTAAAGACAGTGCTGTTCAGCATCAGATGACTCAGACAGCGCCCCCTCAAGACGAGCCTGATCCGAAACCTGTGATTCAAGCACCCCCTGGAGAAC